TAACGACGTTTATTAGTAATATTAAAGTGTTTCAGGCGCCACAGAAAAAACGCTGCTATTTTCAATATAATGTTTTGATATGCTTTACTTTCTGATTGATACCAAAATATTTCGATCTAAATCAGGTTTAATTTTGAGCGAGACCGTTTGTAATTTTCGTGAAATTATTTTTAATCAATTTTATAAAAAGTTTTACGTATGATATGACGGAGTAATTTTTGCTCGTAGAAATAAATAATAATTTTTTTATTAACATCCTAGTACAAACATCGCAACGAAATTGTATTAAGAGAATGTTAAAAATAAAATAGTATGATTTAACAATCAAGTGGTAAATAACAAAAAATAGTCTATCTAGTATAGGTTTTTGAGAGTATGTATGTTTCTTGGTTGTAAACCAATTTAAAACCGATAATAAAATGCTTTGCTTTAGATACAAACATAAATTTTAATGCAACCTTTAAATATAAAGTGAGCTTTAAAGTTCCAGGTTACTTATGAAAACGGCCCTTAGAATTATTAAACTATAGTTTCAACAACGTACGTATATCAATTCACCTAACAACTAGGGTTGCCAATCGTACTGTAATATATAGAATTGTACTACACTGAACCAAAAATCCATTTCTGGATCAAAGAAAAACTTTCCTTACTTTAAGGTAGAAAATTCTTCCGAATGAGTAAAAAATTCTCCCGAATGCGTAATTTTTCTTTGGCATGTGTAAAAACGTACACGAAAATATGGAACCGTGAATGTAATCTATCATTTTGAAGAAATGTTGGGCATGAAAAGGGGATAAAACTCCTTTAGTGCTGTTTCGTTCCCATTTCTCTTCATTATGATTGCTGTTTTTCTTCAATTAAGAGAAGTTTTTTTTTGGGTGTATCTTTTAAGTATAGTATGTAGACAACCATACTGTTGGAAAAAAGATTATGCAAAAATACTATATTTCTTCAGTTATAAATAAATATAAATATCTATTTATTTATTTGTTGAGCTATGTTTATAATAAATTCTAAAATTTAATAGTTAGTTACAGCGCCAGCTTCTAGGTCTATTTGCTGACGTATGTATAAATATATTTAAGTAATTTGCAAGAAAAAAATTTTATTCTGAAATAACAATATTAAATGAAATATTCTTTAAAATAAAAGGACATATTGAGTTTATGAATAGAACCACAAATCAAAATTGGCAACATATTTTTAAAAACTTTGAGAATGAACTATGAAATTTACTTAAATTTCTTTAATTTCTACTCTATTTCTGCAAAGAGTTTTTGCAATTATGAATGTGAAATGGCGACATGAGAGAAATAAAGCGACTACTTCACAAATAAAAAATTAACTTTTGATTTGCATATATCAATTTAAATTTTGATTGCGGTAAAGCATAGTTGCCAAGGGGTTATTAAAAACTCCCAAAAGTGCAAAGAAATATTTTTTATAAAGGATATGCACATAAAATCGTTTTTACTTTTCTTTTAAATAAAATACTATAAATATTTGAAATCTACTAAATTTTTTCAAGTTTTTTTTTAAGTACTATAGGGGAACTTCGGGTATTGTGGTATAGGTAGTTGGTTTTTTGAGATCTGTAGCAAATGTACGAGCTTATTAATAATAATAATAATAGTTTGGCGCTTACACATATGTTAGTGTTCGACCGAGCTTCTCCTCCGATTTGTGCCGTGTGCCTTAATGTTGTCACACAAAGCGGAGGGACGTTCAGCTTTATGCCGACTCCGAACGGCGATTGTATTTTTATAAGAAGTGGTTTTTCATGGCAGAAATACACTCGGAGGTTTGCTATTGCCTGCCGAGGGACGACCGCTTTTAAGAAAAACCTTTTTCTATATTTTTGCGATGTTGCTTTGACCAGGGCTTGAACCCAGTCGTTGCGGAGTGGAAGCGCGCACTGCTTACCACTACACCACAGCGGCTGACGAGCTTATTAGTAACTATTATTTATTATTCGAGAGCAGTGAAAATTTAGTTTTAAACATATTTTTCAATGAAATATATATATTCGCAAGTAATTTTTAAGCAAAAAACAAAACCGACTTCAATTCTCATATACAAATTTTAGAATGCCGTTAATTTCGTCATGATCCGATGATCGGATTTAATTAATATGGGACCACGTGTGAGGTAAGACCTTTCCTTTAAAAAAAAGAATTATAGAAATCGGTTAACGTAGTCCAAAGTTATGCGGTAACATACATAAAAATAATAAAAATAAAAATAATACCGTTATATGAAAAGCGGCCGTAATTTTAGTCCGATTTTAATAATTTTCAACGTTTTGCTTTTATGTGTCAAGCACAATAAAAATACCGAGTTTGGTACAAATCGGTAGAACGGTTACCGATATACATATATGTGATCGTAAGTGGGCGGTGCTACGCCCATTTTCCAAAATTATTCCATAAACGTATTTCTTGGTAAAGAATTGTTTGAATTTTGAACAAATTAGCTTTAATATTTACTGATTTATCGAAGATGTGGGTGTGGGTATTGTCCGATTTTTTTAATTTTCGGCCATTTAGTATGCTGTACCAAGGCCAACAACTGCGCCAAGTTTGGAAGAAATTGGTGCAGCGTTTACCAAGATATACAGATGTAACCATAAGTGGGCGTGGCTACGCCCATTTTCCAAAAATTTATAATATTCTTATTTTTCGTCCGAAAATTATTGTAAATATCAATTTTGAGTGAATTATCTTCTGTAGTTACTAAAATATCGCAGTTTTCGTATTTCTGGAAATTACCGTTTCGGTTTCCGATTTCGCCCATTTTCAACACCAACCTACTTTGGATTAATGGAAACCTACGTACCAAATTTCGCTGAGATATCTAAATTTTTGGTCGAGTTATCGTGTACACGGACGGACGGACAGACAGACATGGCTTAATCGACTTCTCTATTCATTCTGAGCATTTATGTATACATTTGTCCGTTATGTGAACAAAATTAATATACCCTTGTGCACAAGTGCGCTCGGGTATAAAAATTTAAACGAACCCAAAATATACGTACTTCAAAAATTGGAGGGCAATGTAGTATATATGGTTCGGATAATGTGGTATACTGTTCCACATTATGATAACGCAGTTGATATCGCCTATATCATATTGTCTTGGGTCCACTTTCGGATTTTTCACATGTTTTGTGCGACTTAAAGAAAACCAAACGGTTTTACTTCATATCTGTATTGTAACTCCGTTTTTTTTAAGTCATCACATGTTAAGGTGATAACAGACATTGCAGCCTAGCTAGAATTGAAGATATGCGACTATACCACATTACACTCCTATACCACAATACCCGAAGTACCCCTAAATATCAAAGAAAATGTTGGAAACTCTACAAACAGCATAAGTGAGGTAGATGGGCTAGAGATATATATCCTTTCGTATGCTGCTGGACTTCAAAATCGTCATTATCATAAAGGAGTCAATGTTGGTGACAAGCCCAATTCAAAAGTGTATGAAAAAAGATGTCGAATTTCGACAACTGGGCGATACTAGAACATTATAAAAATGCGCCCGCTTTCCAAATATCAGTCGGACAGCTCTTGAGCTGAGTAACTAGTTTGCCTTCACACATACATACAAAGATACTGGCATGGCTGAAACTACTCAGGTCGACGTTTCGATCATTATGGTTCACTTTTTATAGGTATATCTTCCTTTCTTCTGAGACTTACAAACATCGGACCGAAGTCGTAAACCCATTTCATATTCATGAAAGGAATTAAAACATTATGCGCCTGGGTTATACTACCAAAGAGAAACGGAAACAAGAAAAGATAAAAAAAACTAAGGCGCCTAGGTCACACTACTAAAATGCAAATTAGTTCTTGCATTTCCAGTTCGTTTCTAATTACCGAAGTTTGTACTGAACTGAATATTAGCCTTTTTCTTAGCATTCGTCCACAAATTAATCTTCTATTTGTTTCATCCACGTCTTCGTATTCATATTCATATTCGTGTTCGCCTTCATGTTCGTTGTGTTCATATTCTTCTTCATCTCCCTATTTTTTTAGTCACCCATGAACCAAAAAGACAAGATCACGCGGGCTGGAGACTAGCCCGTTAGAATCGCATTTAGGAAAAAAGTTGAGTTTGTTTACATTTCTTCGTTGTTTACAATTTGGTGGTGGCTTTTTACTGCAATTTTCTTCATTTTCACTTGTGACAACGTGTGTACAGATAAGATAAAGAATAATTTAACACAACGGCATGATTTATAGAAGAATTTGCATAATAAAAATGATTTTTCATGCGTTCAACAATTTCGCGGTTTTCTCCGTTCTCTTCGTTGTTTACTTCTTACAACAAAGATGGCGTCAAGATTTCGGCAGCTAGAAAATTACTTTTTTCGTTTTTTCCTTCCCGCGTGATCTTGTGTCTTTCGTTCATGTTAGTCACCGTACTCGTCTTCCTGTTCGCTTACGTCTTCGTCTCACATTCGTTTTCGAAGTCGTATTCCTATAGGTCTTCGTACTTATTTACGTATACGTACTGGTGTTTATATTCGCTTTCGTATTCCTCTACGTGTTCAAAGGCAAAAATACAAAGCAACCAAAAAATACGAAAAAGCAATACAATGTTATCATACTAAACGCAATTCAACAACTAATTTTGTAACCATAGAAACTCTCGTCATCTAAAGAAAATCAATATGTTAAGTAGAATGGCCAAACAGAGACCAACAATATTTTCCATGTCGAATCGTTACGAGTTACTGTAGTAATCCTTATTACTAACTTTAGTAAGAATTAGACATGGATTAGACAAGTATTATAGACATGAGACACTTAACAGTAGAAGGGATACAATTTTTTGAATTTCGAATTGTGTCTTTATGGCAGACGACCAACGATATGTATATATGTAGATGTAGTTAATAAATTTACATATTTTTTTGTATTATCCAAAACGACTAATTAAATAAACAATTACCTATACAAAATTTTCTTTTCTTCTCTTTCTAGGTAAGATAAGATCAGATTTAACACAATACGGCGGGATATCAACAGACATGGGTAAGGAATATTCCATTTTTTATTTTCTGCTTAAGTTATTATTTTGCTCTACACAATTCGGTGTTGGAATTTTTGACATATTGACACATACGTATGTAAGTATTTAGCCTTCTTTTGCAGCAAAATATTAAATAAAGAAAGATTTTGTAGGTAAAGAAAAAGTAAATGCTCCTTAATTCCTTAAATGAAGGCAACCAACTTTTGCTATAATCTTGTCTACAGGGCTAAAATCTCACTTATTTTGCTCATATACATACATACATATCTATGTATTTCCTGCAAAGCCCACAGGCATTCTTATCGCCCTAAAAGGCACGTAAAGAAACGTTCTGAGAGCCGCTGTATGCACATTTAAAGGCAACCCTAACAAAATTGAACGTGTGCTCATCTCGTTCTTCAGCTCTCTTGCCATATCGGCTCGATGGGCATATTTCGCTAGTCAAATGCGCAGCGGTTACGGTTGGCTAGTAGCGCAAACATGTAAACAGATAAGCTGAGCACACGGCTGTAGTTCGGCATGTTTTAGCCGTTGCACAGTGCGATATTTGTACATTCTAGGTGGACAAAAGTACTAAAAAGAATATGCCCGAATTCTATATGACGAATTTACATATGTAATACAAAAATAACCCACTGTTACGAAAATGAACTCAAAACAAAATAAAAAATATCGGTTGACATATTAGCGATAAAATAGTTCAAATATTTTCATTAAAAAAATATATATATGACAAATTTTAATGAGAACTAGAGTGCCAGTTACTGTCGAAATTCGACAGTTTTTCTAGTTTTTAGGAGCCTTGGAGAGGGTTTCTAACTTAACACGTAGCAAAACTTATACGATACAAATTAACTTACCGGAACATCTTCTGCTTTGGAACTAAAACGAAACTAAATTTTTTTTATCTTAGAAGGTCTTTGGACTTCAGCAGGACTTAGAATTGACCCGATACATTCCATTTATCGATAAATATTAATGATTTGATACATAACGATAGTTCGATGAATTTCAAAAACACTAAAATCATATAACTCAACAAAATTCGTTAACTCGACCAATTTCAATAACTGTGAAATTCGAGGGCTCGACAAATTTCGATAAATCAAAAATGTAAATTCTTTGGACACCTTTAAAAATTTTTACTTTTGACAGCTCAACATTTTTCGAAAGCTATCGAAAAATTTTGATAACTCATTACACTCTGTTAGCACGATAAAATTCGATAAGCAGTGATAAATCGATAAGCTTATATAATCTTGAAATTTCGATTAATGGAACTCCATGCATTACTACAACTCGATAAATTTCGTTAAACCTATAAATAATGATAATTCAATAAATATCGATAACTTGATGCATTTCTTTAACGTGACAAATTTCGATAATCCCACATGTTTTTATAGCTCGATAACTATTCGTAAATTTCGACAACTAAGTTTCTGTGTCTATAAATTTCGACAACTCAATAAACATTGATCAATTTGAATAATTCGATACGTTGTGATAACTTAATAAGCATGGATAAATTTCGATAATTATAAACTTCGATGATTCGATAAATTTCAGTAACTTTTATGGAAAATTCCAATTCAGTTACCCTAATTCTTATGTATTTCTCATTGTCTCCATTTTCGCCTTTATCTCCATTTTCGTCTTTACCTTCACTTTTGCCTTCTTTTTTTGTCTTCATCGTTATCACTTGTTTCTTCATCTTCATATTTATCTTTATTTCAAAGTTTAATTTTAAATACGAAGTAAAAACTGCGAAAGAGCTTAAATTGAACAGGTTGTAAAAACAACCATACACAAATATGGAAATTTTTAAACAACGATTTTAAACCAATTTCGAAACTATAAAAACTCTCCTCATCTACAGAATTACCTTTCCAACGGTGTTCTTGGTTTTGAAATCGGTAAATTTACCTTGGTCTTCATCTTTGTTTTTATCTTTCATATCTTTGCTTTTATCCTTTTCTTTATCTCAGGGACCGCAAATAACGATTATCCTTTGAAATTTCAACTCAAAAAATCACGCAGAAAGCGGAATGCTACGTGCATAAGGAGTAAACCAATATATTTTTTATTACTCGAAGTACCTTCAGCGGCGCTAATTTTTATATTTAATTTTTACTTATAAAAATCAAGTTTAGTCATTATATTTTGAGTTTTATTTTTTACTGAGAAAATAATCGTTATGTTTTGAGTTTTATTTTTTGCTCGGAAAATAATCGTTACGTTTTAAGTTTTATTTTTTGCTCGGAAAATAATGGTTACGTTTTAAGTTTTATTTTTTGCTCGGAAAATAAT